AGAATAAAGTCGTCTTAGATGGTTTGGTCATATTAAATGTCGACCATTAGATTATCCGATTAGGAGAGTAGATGTTTTAAATTCGACTTGTGTTAAGAAAGGCAGAGGTAGACCTAGGAAGACTTGGGCTTATTGTATTAAAAATGATCTTAATTTACTAGAACTAAATGAAAATATGACACTAAATAGGACGCAATGGAGAAAAAGGATTCATGTAGCCGACCCCACGTAGTGGGATTAAGGCTTTGTTGTTGTTGTTGTTGTTGTTGTAGCTTTCTTTGGAAAACATGCATAGGTTTTGAGCACGTGATGGAAATCTCTCCTTTTCTAGAACACATTATGTGGAGAGGACAGATGTTCTTGGTTGGCCAAAGATGAGAGAGCAGGTTTTACAAAAATGAACATTTCAATTCATCTATTATTACCTTCGTACATAAGATCTTATGTATTGATTGGAATTTAAAAGAGATTTCCTTTGCATGGTCAAAAAATCCTCATGCATTTCAAGTGAAGCATAATGAAGTAAATAGAACAGAAGTTCAAATGCATAAATGTATGGTTGAAGCTTTTGAAAAATTATCAACTTTATTATATTTTATATCTTTTCCACTACCATTCAGAAATTAACAAAATATTACATTTTAATTTTAATGAGTGTGATTACGTCTCTTTAAAAATATCAACTATGTGGTAGTATTAGTCACACTGATTATGTAATAAATCAAAATGTAATGCAAACAGTAAAAATGTAAAATTCGACCTTTGGTTGTGAGTCATGTGGCACGCCTTATCAAAATTAGTGATAGTTTTATCAGTTTAATGACTTTGTTTCCCTTAAAATATCATTCATTTTATCGCTACTTGCTTAGTCTTTTTTCATAAGAAACAATAAGAAATTCTATAAAAATAAAAAATTAAATATTTTTTTGTCATTTTCTAAGCTTTATTGGCCAAATTGTAAAACATAATAAGTTTAGATGAATTTTGAAGTACGGCACCCTCAATATAAATGTAAGGATGTTTGTTCAAATGATCAGGATTTGTTTAGTAAATATACATATTTTCATGAAGAGGGGTCTAATTGCATTTAGAAAAAAAAAGTTGTAGCCCTTGAACAAAAATAAAAAACAACGTCATTGATTAATTGTCTTTAAAAAAAAAAAGTCTTATAGCTCTGAATATTTTTCATATCATCGTGATAGAAATTGCATTAGGATTTTCTGATACAATTATTATTCGTTGTTTAAAATACCCAACCAAATGCATATACTTAACACCTCTTTGTAAAAACTGCTATTGTTGATGAATGAAAGCAAGCTAGTTTCTCTCTTAATTATTTACTCGGCCTACTTTGCTAGTCAGGACTCCTCTTCATTGCTTATCTCTCTCTTTTTTTTTTCTCTTCTTTGTCAATCCAATCATCTTCATCTCTGCTAGCTATATCCTATCAATGCTCATTGCATTCAAAGCCATGCTCCTCCAAAGAATCCATCCATCAAGCATCATTACTACACACCCAAGGTGCATTTGGAGTAGTGGTGCGATGGCTGTACCGCAGTTTTTTCTGTTTAGCAAAACTACGTTTTGCCCGCGTTCTCAAAAGAGCTGGCTACCTGCGGTGGCTGCTAGAAAGCTGCGGTTTGACTTTTAATTTTTTTTTTTTGTAGCCGCTGCCGCTGTTTTTTAAATAGCAGCTTCATCTCCAGAAGCTTCACAATAGCTTTTTTAAACAGCTGCAGCTGCCCCAAAGAGACCCTCAAACAACTCTTCTTGAACTCATTCCTTGAAAGTGGAGCTTTGCTAACCCACTCGCCATTTTGTCTGTCATTTTCTTTGCTTTTTCAAGATGCATAATTTTTCTTTTACTTTTTCTAGTAAAATCTAGTTTTTAAATGTTCATACATTTATGCTTTCTTAGGTGAAAATTGGGCTTCGAGTTCTTACCCGCCCCATGCCGGATCAGCTACCAACAATTTACCGAACCCTTGGAGAGAACTACAATGAGAGGGTTTTGCCATCTATTATTCATGAAACTTTGAAAGCTGTTGTTGCTCAATACAATGCCAGCCAACTTATCACACAGAGAGAGGTACTCCTTTTTGTGAATCATTTGAAGTTTTCTTTACTGTGATTGGTAGCTCTACTAGTTTATGTATTTTTTAAGACAAATAATAGGTGACTTGTGGATATGACTTGAATATTGTTTGCTTATAGGCTGTGAGTCGAGAAATAAGGAAAATTTTGACTCAGAGGGCGGCAAACTTCAATATTGCACTGGATGATGTATCCATTACAACTCTCAGTTTTGGGAAAGAATTTACTCATGCAATCGAAGCTAAACAGGTTGCTGCACAAGATGCTGAGAGGGCCAAATTTATAGTGGAGAAGGCTGAGCAGGACAAAAAGAGTGCCATAATAAGAGCTCAGGTGAGCCCTTATTTGTTACATGCTTTATTTGCTTCTAATTCCTCATTCTTATTGCCCTTGTGGGTGGCCTTATATTTTTTTAAGAAATATTGAACTTGTAGATGCAACCAAAGAAGCTTTTATAGTCATATTTATTTCCTCTATTTTAAAAGAACTCGTGTTGCATGAGTTAAAGATATTATACAGTAATTTCTTTAATGGTTTATTATCATTTATTTTCCCTGAGGTTTTACTAGATATCAGTCCCCTAAGGTTTGACAAACTATCAAATACTTATCTGGTTTTTTATCCATTTTTTTAAAATTAATAATAAAACGTCTTTTTTGCTCTTGAAAAATATTACAGAAGGAGCATATAATATTTTTTATTAAATGAAAGACACATAAAGATCTAACAATTATAAAGAAATTTATCATGGATAAATGAGAGCGAGATATTGTTAGGGCTTGAGCGGTAAGACATCAACAACGGGGAATTAAATGATAATGAAGTGAACTCACTTGCAACTCCCTTGGGATTGGTTAGTGGAAGATGGAGTTTGAGGAAAAAAAAATGTAATTAGTCTTGATTAATCAAGACATTTTTCCCAATAAATTACATCTACTCATGAAACAGCCATAAAAGACACTTGGCTTACTCTAACCAATCATATACACATTTTCCTATCTCCTTTTAACTGGACCAATTTCATAAAAATACATGGCAAAAGTTAACCAACTAGAAAGTATCATTTGCGCTTATTTTTCACCTTACTAAAAGAGCGGCAAAGCTAACTTTTTGCCACTTGGATGTCGTTAAGCGAAGGTTGCGGTTCTCAATGTGTTTCATTGATTCAGTTCCTTGCCTTTGGGTTTTGTTTTGCTCTTGTTGCTATGCCATTTTGAGTTGTATAATTTCTCCCCCTCCTTTAAGAGCTACCTTATCCTGAGGTAAAGGTCTCGAAGAAATGACAACAAATTTGTTTTTAGGATCCAGGTGGCATCTTTGCTAGGTAAACCTTCCCATTCAACATGGTGCTGTTCCGCAGGTTTGTCGCCTTTGAGGGTGCGGTGGGAACAGAATATTGCCATGGGTTTGATGATGGTTATCCAATTCTTGGATGGTAGTGTGGTTGTGTGTAGGTCATTTTGTGGTAATTTTTTTAAGGAGATGAGGAAGACGGGATGAATATGGGATTAAGGTGAGAGTTGGAGTTTGTATGCGAAGTAGCCATTGTGTTTCAGTACTGGATCGGGAGTGTAGTAGTGACGTAGAAGCTTAGTGTAGTATTGATGATGGATATAGTTTCAGTAGTATGGTTAGAGCTTGACCAAGGGTAGTTCTCCCTTTATGAACTCCATATTATTACGGTGTTTTTCAAAGTGATTTTTCATGCATTGTTGGGAGGTTTGGAGATGAGGGTAAATTCTGGTTGTAAGATCTTGGGGTTGAAACATGCCTCTATGGTGGCCGCCTAGTGACGTGGTCCATTCATTTTTGAAACTGGGTTCTGAACATTCGATCTATAGCGAGCTTGTAGGAACTGACGTTGCATCTCCCATTTCATCTGAGACCAGGTAGTAATTTTACTCTTTCATTCTCGTTGTTGAAGAGCCTTTAAGTTCATCTATCATTTAGATGCACTCTTTCTTAACTTGCTAGCGGTTAGTTTCACCATTTTGTCCTGGAACCTAAAAATACATTCCAGGGTCCAGAACCAGTTGATGATCTCGTTCTGATCTTATTTGGCATCTGACATATGTCATATCTCCTTTTACTTCAAAATTATGGCTTCTTAGATATTTCAGGTCAAGGTTTCGTTGTAGAGTTTTTTCATCCTTGGCATTCTTACGGTGGAAGAGATTCTCCCCATTCATTCAATCTAGCAAGTCACCGTTGTTGCTACGGGTGACCCATCTAGATGGTCTCCTTTCCTCAATAACATCGATCCATTGTAGCACTCGACAGAGTTGTCACTGTATCTATTCTCTGATAAACTTCTGATCGGCGTCCGAGTATTGCCTTCTCGATGCTATGATTAGAGTTCAGGTTTGGGTAGATGAAAAGAGGTGTCTAGGGGTGATGTAGGGTTGGAAAGAAAAATTTTGGATGACTGGATTGAAAAATCAGCAAATGGGAGGATTTTTGTGTGGAGGTGGGTTGGCTATGGGTTAATGTTTCTAGGATAAGGTGGGTTGGCTATGGGTTAATGTTTCTAGGATAAGACTGGGATTAGGTTAGCTCTGATACCAAATGATATCCAAGTTAAGCCAAACCACAACTCTCTTATGAATCGTCGATAGAAGTTAGCGAGACCGTGAAAACTTCTAATCTCCGAGATAGTAGATGGGGGTGGAGACGACTTGCTGGCTTCTACCTTCTGTGGGTTTGTATGGACTCCTGACTTATCAGTGATGAATCTCAGAAAGTGCACACTTTTACTAGCAAACTCGCACTTGGACTTGTTAAGATATAATTTTTGTTCAAGTGGGACAGATAGGATAGTAGTCAATTGCTTGAGGTGATTTGACATCGATGAGCTGTAGACTAAGATATCATCAAAACAAACGACACAAAATTGATCAAAGAAAGGTTTTAGGATTTCACTGATGAGTAGTATAAATGTGCTTGCACAACCCAAACGACATCACAGGCCATTCCTATATGCCTTCTTTAGTTTCGAAGTCTTTTTTCCATTCATCAACTGCACAAATATGGATTTGATGGTACCCACTTCTTAAGTCCAACTTGGAGAAAATGGATACACGAGCAAGTCATTCTAGAAGATCCTCAAATCTTGGCATAAGAAAATGATACTTTATAGTGATATTTTTTTATAGCGTGAATGTCTACACATTCTCGCCAACTTCCATTTTTTTTAGGGATAAGTAAAGTTAGTACCACGCACGGCTTGAGGCTGGGGTGAATACTTTCCTTGCTTAAGAGTTCCTCAATAATTCCTCTCAACTAACCTTGTAATAGTGAGTGATGTTTGTAATAGTGAGCTCCTAGAATCGGATCAATTTGATTTGAATTGATTGGATAGGAGGAATTTTTTGGCAATGTGGCTGGCATAACATCTGCAAACTACTTTAGTAATTTCTGCACTTCCTTTGGTCGATTAAGGTCATCATTTCTTGAACTCTCTGTTGCATAATCTGTCACTATCACTCCCAGTAATAGTGAGTGATTTTGCATTCCACAATTAACTGTGAACCAGACATGGAAGTGAAAGCTGGTCTCTCCACTTGAGGTGGCCCTCTGTGCTGAGATGCAGAAGTGCTGTTTGGCAGCAACCAAATTTTTTTTACCTTGCCATTCAAACATGTATGTGTTACTTCTTCCATCATACCAAGCTAAGCCCCTTTGTCACACTGCCAAGGCTTACCTAATATGATATGACATACATCCATGTCTATGAAATTGCATACAACTCCACATTTATATTGTCTTCCAATGGAGAATGAAACTTGGCATGAATCCGTCACTGCAGTTTCCACTCCTTTATTTACCCACCTATTTTATATGGATTTGGGTGTTTAGTAGTTTTTAATTGTAAGATTTTAACCATATTTTGCGGCACTATATTCTCTGTACACATATTATCGATATTTAGATCACAAACTTTTCCCCTTACAGTAGATCTAGTGTGAAATATTTGATGCAGTTGAGATGTATTCATTTGTTTAGGAGCCAACAAATTTTTTTTTATGTTACAAGGCAATAATTCATCATCTGCTACGAGATCTTCACAATCATCAATCGACGGTAATGTATGAGTGCTATCATTCAACTCTTGTTCTCCTTCCATCATTTGAACTTGATGGCGGTTAGGGTAGTCATTGGAATGATGCCCGGGCTGAAAACAATGAAAGCTTTTTTATAGCCCTGGCTTGTTGTAAATATTATCTTTGATGGTGTTTGGCTTGGTTGATCCCTTTCCTTTTGTAGCTGACTGATTTGGAGACTATTGGACTTGAAGGGAGCTTGTTTTTGCACTGAAATTTGGATTTCTTCGCTGATCGATGGGTTTATCCCTACTTGGTAGTTTACACGTGTTAAATTTTGACGCTCGAGAGAGTTGCAATTTTGCTTTGTAAGCAAAGTTAACATCCTGGGATAGTGACCAGGCATCGTTCATCTTAAATTTTTCCTCAAATTGTTTTTCGAGACCGCCAATGCATCTTGCCACCAACTATTGATCTGTTTCATTAAGATCATTAAGGGAACTCAACCGATAAAACTCAGTGTATGACTAATGGTGAGATACTCCTTCGGAATTGTTATGCTCCCGTTCTTCTAATTTCTCTCGAGTCGGTCCTTGAAATTGAAACAATCCTTTAGGTGTGTACGAGTAGTATTTGATATGGGCAGTAATTGGGATGATTTCTTTTGTCGACTTCCTCTAGCTTCATTGGCTCTGACAGTTTGAATTCTGGTTTCTTCATCAAATTGTAGAATATCTTCCCTATTGACTCATTTTTTAATGGATATACTTTGTTCAACCATTCTGCCATTATTCAATGTGGCCTTCCGTCTGTCTGATATGGTCTTCATTGAAATGACTATTGACTGTGCGTTTGAGGATGCTGGTAACTCTACCAAGTCTGCTCTGTCTGTATCGGTATTGGCTGCTTGTCTTTGTCTACCGCTGCCACAGTCCTAGATTTCGTCTCAAAGGCTTTTACTGGTTTCGGCTTTTCGACCTTTTACAAAAATCTGAGTTGTTTTGTTTTTTCTTGCAAATTTCCGGCTTTGTTGAGCAGATTCTCAGAAGTCTTGATCATAAATCCTTTGAGTAGAAAAACCACCGGTCTGTGGATGCTTTTCAGCAGAATCTTGATCGCATGTTGTTATTGGAGCTGCAGCTCGCATTTCATGCTTAAGTTTCTCCATTGCAGAATGTAGTCTATCAAAATTTTCGTTGGTTATGTCGCTTTTTTAGGTCCACCTCAAGCTTCTTTACAGGGATTTTGTGAGCCAGTTGTTTTGATTTTTTATTTTAAACCAAGCCTTTCACACTTTTTAACATTTTTTCATTTCTTTTTTTTCTAATTCCACTAAGAATTATTATATATATATAGTCGAGCCCATTTCTTTTAATGATTTTGATTGTCCAATTCCTCCTAATTGATAAATCTCAAATTCTCCTCAATTTAAATTCCCAACATATTATAATCCAATCAAATGTTAAGACACACTTGGTCAAATTAATAACTTAAAGGTTTAAACTACCATTAGTTAACTACTAATATTTTAATTACTCGTTTAATTATGCTGAGACTTTTTAGGTTCATGTGAGGGTTGTTATAATTTAGGATTCGGTGATTAGGGGATAATCCCCTTTAATAACTCTTCACATTCTAATGATTTTATTATCTAGCCCATTAAGTCATCAGGATTTATAACATGAGTCCCTACAGAAAAAGTGAAGTCTACAACTCAAATACGAGAATTATTTTAATGCAAGTATAAATGCATCAACTCCTCCCCCAAACCTATTTTCTATCTGATGCATGCCATGTGAGAATGTACTGATCCAAATGAATAAGTGCAGGCAATGTAGAATAGCATAGGAGATAACATGCATTGCATTTCCAATATAACAAGAACACAGTAGTAAATCAAAAGGTGAAAAATGCACACATAAAGCTCAAACAAGTACAGGAAATCATAAGGCCACAACATATCATACAAACTGACAGAAACCTTCATAACAAAAACAATGCATATACAAGTCACTAAAATAAAAAAAATACACCAATCCAACTCCCCCTACTCATCACTATCACTCTCCTCCATCTGCACGCCTCCTAGTCCATAAATTTAAAACGATAGCAATAACTGGAATGACAGTCAGTTGTGCTCCCAATAGTAATGAGAAGCACTGGGGCATGTAATCGTTCTGGCCTGGTGCTGGGTGGTGTAAAACTGAGGCTGCTTCTGTAGGTCGTGAAGCTCCCACTCCATGATAGCTCGAGTGATTGCCAACACCTCCAGTTGTCCGACCAGCTCTATAATGAAGGGGTCAGTCCACGACATCTCACGAAGCCTTGAGGAACTTTCCCCAAGCATACGAGAAATCACTGATGCAGAACCATAAGAAAATACAAAAGGCCTAGTGATGGGTTTCTATGAATGTGATAACTTCTCATGGCCCATCTCCGGTTTCCGGGTTTCTATGAATGTGATAACTCCTCATGGCCCATCCCACCCCCGAAACACACACACACAAAAAATCTTCACATCTATACATAGGGCGGTGATGAGTGTGAGGTGACCTAACCCTACATTGGTCTGGCCAATAGCTATGTAAGCTATAGTCTGGTAAATCCCTAGTCCAATATCTATCATCTTCCTTGCTTGAATACAAAAATTAAGGACCTTCCAGACCTTAATGACATTAGTAACGCTTCTGGTAGGAAGAAAATGGGCTACAATGAAGTAGTGCCAGACCCAAGCTATAAGGCTCAGGTGCGTGAGTGGGAAGTTGACTATTCTCTTCCCCTTATCCCCAGATCTAGTCTTCCACCGACCAATGAAGTCAGTCAGGAAGGCTATGATCTCCTAGTAGTTTGAGAGAGAAATCTATAATAATCATAATTGGAGGGGTTGGGAGGGTCATAGGGACTGTTGATCATGGTAGGGTCATAAGGGATTATTCTCCCCACATGAAGACTCACCCATCCATGAGTTTTTACAGACACTATGTTGGCTAATCAAGTAAGATATTTATCTTATCGGACAAAACCGACATCAATCAATTTCTTGACCTCGTCTATGACCTATTGTTCTATTTCCACACGCATTCTCCTTGGAGCTAGCTTTACTGGGATTGCATTTTTTTTCCGGTCCAAGTTTGTGGACCGCCACTTCTGGAGCCAGCACGAGTATTTCATCGTAGCTCCAAGCGAAGTAATCTTTATATTCAGCCTTGGGCATATTTTTGATATTGTAAATATAGTATATGTTTGTAATCGGATGGTAGGAAATGACTTCTCATTAGTTGTCACATCCTCCTCTAGCTTCGTATACAACTTCGTCCCTCTTTATCGCGGGATTGGGTTAGTTGAACCCACCAAGTGCCATCCCCTTTATTTAGTTTGTATGCAACATATTTAACTTGTTTGTCTGCTGAAATATCCATTTATTCGAAGAAAGTCTCGACTGATTGCTCTCAATCTAAGTAATCTTCTATATGCTAATGACCATCAAAGAAGGGCATGTCAATTTTCACCTTATAGTCTCTCCAAATTCGACCTTCGGAATGGTGATGCTTGTAGTTGGATTCCCAAATGGGAATTTCAGCCTCCGAATCGGAGTCAGAAAGGTCCGCACATCGACAAAGGTCCTTGTCGAACACGGGAGTTTCTTTACTGCTGATTAACTCTTGCCATTGGGATCGCCTCGGTTCTCGAGTTAACACAATGATATCTACAAGGGCAAGTGTGGTAGCAATGATCTCCGGTGTGGTTGTCGATGGAAAAGGTCCATTAATCCTGATTTAGCTCAGTTCTTACCTCATCCATGAACTTGGTAAAATTGGAAGCAAGAGCATCAAATCGTCGCTCGAGACGAATGTGAGCTTCACACAAATCATTTCAGTTGTGATCATCGTCGTGATTGGTATTTTGGCTTCTGTCTTCCATCTAACTCCGATACCAAATGATGCATTCACCTGCAACAGGAGAGAAGAAGAGCACGAAAATGCTAATCGGAGAAGGGGGAATATCGCAGAAAAAGGTGCACCCTACAGTAATAGACTTCCTTTTCATCACTACCACTGTGTAGTAGTTTCATTCTACCTAACACAAAAAAAAATCCACTAAACACAACTACTTAATAATACTAAAAGCAGAATTGACTACTTAATAATGGTAATTAGCCAATGTTAAGCTGAAGCCCGCAGCTTCAGGAATGGTGCCTGCGTTACATAGTTAATCATCAAGGATGCTAGAGGTTTGGAATAATTTAGCTAACTTTCCATTGCAAGTTCTGGTATATAAATGGGTCAAAGCTCTTCCTCGAGGCTGCAATAAATTTTGCCATAGAGTCCAATGATATCATTTCTCCATAGTTTTGTTAATGTGGAAGAACATAAGGGTAAATTAATCTTTACGAAGTGTTTGCCGAAGCCACGAGACTTTGGATTTGCCCTGGTGGTATATTGAGGGATGGCGAGATGATTTGCCTTAAATGTGTTCCATCCATTAGATCTGACGGTGACGGTGGTGAAGAAGGTGAAGAAGGAACAACGAAATTAGTTTTTGTTTAACTAGACAGCCTTTCCTGAAGTATCACACATACTCACTAACCAGCCATAAAAAGGTTTGGCATACTCTAACCGACCGATATACATCTTTTTTTATCTTTTTTATTTTAACCATGATAAGTAAAGACACTCACACATGTAAACCAACTAGAAATTGATATTTTCACTTCTTTTTTCACTTGCCAAAACATCACCCAAGCAAACCTTTTGCCACTGGAAGCCTTTGAGCCAAGCTGAAAGTCCAGGCGCCCATTTGGTTTTCCCAGGCCGGTTCCCAGCTGTGTCGGTCCAATACTCCTGCTGGCTATTACTGCTAATTTTCAAAAACATCCACTGACACAAGTTTTGCAAAAAAAAAATTTCTGAAATAATTATTCATATGAATGACTATATTCAGGACATATTTGCTTTTGATGCAAGAATGATGTGTTGATATCATTCTTCACCATGATGGCAATGAGAGGAATATCAATCCATTTCTCAGTCATGCTCATAATAAGCAACTTTATCTGAATATTTAATGCTTTGAAATGTTTAGGTCCAGTTTGTAATCATTAAAAATCAACTAAACATATGATTTAGATATTATTTGTTTATTTTTAAAACATAAATGCTTGTGGGCAATGTGGCTTTGGAAGAGATTCCATTGGTTGATTGCAAGGAGAGTCTTAGTGCATAATATATTTTGTTTTCTTTCTTAAAAGTAATAAATAAATTAGAAATATAATTATATTTCATATCACATCAAAGTATACCCAAATATAGATATTTGCTTTTCATTTTCTATTTTTAATTTTCTTTTTGGGGCATTTAGATACATATTACACAATTCTTATATATTTGCACATCCAACACCTAAAAATTTATATTTATATGCATACCACTCAAAGCATTGACATCACATAAAAAATGGCGCTAAGGCAACCTTTTTAAATGTGAAATGCTCCTTCTCATGTGTTGGTTTATCATTTATGGCACCAATATAATATAAGCGTAGATATCAAATTGTGGGTGTTAGATATGCAAATACATAAGAGCTGATGGAAATGTATGTAAATTTTCCTTTTTTTTTTATTTTTCATTCATGACCATCACCTGATTGACATTCACAAATATTTTTATTTTTTGTAGACTCATTATTGTTGAAACTAATATATATTTATCCAGGGTGAGGCCACCAGTGCTCAGCTCATCGGACAAGCAATCGCGAGCAACCCATCATTCCTTGCCCTGAGAAGGATCGAGGCCGCAAGAGAAGTTGCTCAGACCATTTCCAACTCCGCCAATCGCGTGTTCTTACACTCCGATGAATTGCTGCTTAATCTGCAGGATCTCAACCTGGAGAGCAGCACCAAATTGAAGAAATAGCTTTGAATCCCTTTCATGGCGGCTTTCATGTTAAAGACTCTGGAAAGTTTGCACTTTTACTTCATTTTTTGCATGCTATGTGGAGTTTGTTTTTCATTTTGAATTTATAAACTCACATGGAAATGATTTCCGACCTCATGCGCTCAAAATATGTTCAGTTTGTTTCTTTTTTTTCTCTTTGTTCCAAATATATTTTATTATAATATTTTTGATGGAGGTGCTGGAATTGAGTTAGAAACATTCGTTATATAGAATGGGGCATGTACATGCCAATTCTTATGCATTTACATATTTAACATCTTAGTTTTGTCTTTTATAGTTGTGGGCAGTCGTCAATGATAAGAGAAGTGCTCTCTATGATAAGAAAAGTGCTCTCTAAATTCAGTGAAATTATTGCGTCCGCCCACCGCACGCAGAGATGCGTGCGGTGGGCCAATAAAAAACTCTTCATTTACCAAAAAGTGTATGTCAGTGGACCCACTTTTAATTTAAAATTTTTTTTTTTTCATTGGACGGCGCATGCGAGATGCGTGTGCCGTCCGCACGCAATAACAGCTCCTAAATTCAGATCAAATATTAGTGGAGGGAAGAAAAGAATCACAAACCATATGTGATGGTGTTTATTCTCTTGAGTTCTAAGGGTGTGTCTGGGGTGGCGGTGTGGTAACAGTGCAGTGTCGCACCATATTTTGTGTAACAAAATTGTGATTTGCCTGTCTTTTCAAACAATTTGTGGTGGAAAGCTGTGTTTTGTAATTTGATCTGACTAAAGTGTGGTGGTTGCTAGAAAGTTATGCTGTGCTTTTTCAAAAAAAAAAAAAAAATGTAAAAGCCACACCATCATAGTTTTTGTTTTGAACAACAATTTCTTCTATAGCAGTTTTACAACTGCTTCTTCAAACAACAACAACAGCTCTGAGATTGATGAAATGCGGCTTTTTCATAAAGTGCTATTTATCATTATTGTCTTCTTTGTTTCTTAGCTTCTTCATATCCATATAGATCATTGCCAATTTTTTCAGTAATTATGTATCATTACAACTTTTGACTTGCAAATATTAATCTTTATTAAGTATTCCTATTGGACTATGGTATAACATAACTTCTTTCTCAACTTTTCCCAACTCTTATTTGAAGTAATGTCCCATAATTACATGAGATATTTTAATTTTAACACCTACAATCTTGTGTGATGGTAGCTAGCTACATTTAAGAGTGATTGCATGCATCTGTGATGTCAACTTCACAATGATATTGTACTGACTATTGTTCGATAATGTTCTCGTCCAATTATTCAGATCAAAGATTAACGAAGAGCGAAAAAAAATTGCTCGAATGAAAGATGCAATAGATGTAGAATATTTTATAGAATGGAGTCACTAGGGGCTTGTGCCCCAACTAGCCTAACCTATTGATTTATTTTAATAAAATCCTAAGGGGATAATAAAGTCTTAACATGCATGCATTCTTGTAAGGCTTCTCATCTCGTATTAGCAAAGATGATAGTCTGCCAACAGTCTCTCTTTGGCCCACTCCTATAAACAGTTCACAATTAGGTCTAACTGTTATGCACTGCATTTCAGTGGAGGAAATATATGTGATTTCATTATAGTTATATGACATTGTTTTTTATTAGTAATCTTGAGATTTTTTCCCTAGGAATTAAATAAATTTTGATGGTTGTCTTTAATATTTTCCAATAGAATCTAATAGATGGATAAGCCATGGAATCTAAATATTTTGGCTTGTAGCAAGATAATAGCTAAAGTTTATATTTAATTTATAGTATCTTAATAGCCAATTAAAGTTTTTTTCAAGAAATCAATTAAAATGACAATTATGGAAGCTCATTTTATATGAACATTTTGATTTTTCGACTGCTTGATTAGCTTTAAATTTTTAGTATGCATTACTTGTTGCATGCTAGAAAATTCTCAACGATAGTGAAATCTTATATCTTAACTCAGTATAATTTTCCAACACACACACAGATGTAAGAAAAGACTAGATTTTTTTTATGTGAAAAACTCAAAGAAAAGAAAAAACTCAAAGGCATGACCCAATCAAATTAATCCACTAGAAAATTGAAAGTACAAAGATCCATTTTTTTCCCGAATTAGGGAAGATGAAATTACAAAAGTTGATAATTATAACTTTATAATATAAGTTTGGCCACAACAATCATAATTGGGCTACAAGAAGTGTAGATGGTGGCCACCACAGTCATAGTTGGCTATAAAAGTCATAGTTGGTGTCTATAAAGTCTGTAGTTAGTTATATATAGTTGGTTGCTACAATAGTTATAGTTGGTTACAACAATTGTTGTTGGTGGTGGTCACTAATAACTAGTATTCGTTCACCACACTTCTATTCAAGATAGATGCTTTAGTTGTTAGCTCACTCTTGTCATTTCCACCCATTTTAAAGTGAAGAATGATAAACTATTTATAGTCTTTTAGAGACATATTTTCATACATTTAGTTAAATTCTCAAAATGCTTAATTAAGCAGTTCACTTTGATCATTACAGAAACTTCCTTAGTTTTTGATGGATTAATAAGTCAATAAAAACTATTTTTTTCATTGTAACTTTTGTATTCACCAAATTTATAATTTATTTTGGTCAAGCAAAATATCCTTAATCAAAAATGCATTTTCGACAAAATAAATTTTATCGTGTATGACTTCTTATTGCCAAAAAACTTTCTAGAAGAATAAGCTCTGGACTAGTCAGCCAGAAATAAATAAGTACATTTGTTATCATAACATAAAAAATTTTGACGAATTTTTGACAGGCATTCTCGCTAGTAAGAGACAGATAGAATTTATGATTGAAGTATCCACCACTTGTGATCTGGATTGTTGGTTTCGTCAGTTAATCTTACCAACTTAAATATTCACTAAGAATCTATCAGAAACCCATACAAAAAATATGGAAAGTATATGAACTTGATTCTTTTGAGGGTCAACATATTTCTAAATATGCTTATCATAAATAGAAAATATTAGATTTTTAAATTTCAGTTGATTCTACTAAGCTGTAAGTAATAATGTTAGAGGATGTTAGTGGAGCATATAAAAAAGTTAGTCGTACTAGGGATGAGTTTGATGATGATATAGACAAAGAATTTTAAGTTCAATATATATTCACTCGTCATATGAACTAGAATAAGATGTATATTTAGTTCTTACTTTCTTTTCACTTTTACTTCTTATAGTTCAAGTTTGACTTTTGCGCTATCTATTATGGTGTTCATATTTTTTGCTTTTACTTTTATTATCTCCCATTTCACTTAATGTTAGTTCATGCTGCTAATTATTCTGATTAATTTATTTCATTATGTTATACATGACTTCAGGTGATGGTCCCAACTAGGGTCCTTAAAAAGCATCTATCTCAAGCTTTTCCTAAAGGAAGAAGCAAGTTATTTCGTTCCCCACCGTACAAACAAGTATGGTTATGATGGTCACCATTATGTTCTCCACATATGTTGTCACTCCACCTCAGATGACACCTAGATTCCACACCTCTACAACTCATATTGTATTACAACCAATACCCTCCTTCCAAGCGGTCCTCCGTGCATGTCAAACTTTGTGTGTCGGGCACCTCATCATGCACATACATTGAGTTGGATGGAGATATATAAGTTATTTAAATTATAGTAATTTGAGTTATTTTTTTTTATCATATTGAACCTGAAAGAAGATCCATATCAAGGTTCAAGGCATATGTTTTTGGTAGTTTGAGGTAAACCCCCAAATAATTTTGAGTTATAACAATAACCTTAAGTTATACTTTTAAAACAATAAAATTATTTGATATTTGTGGTGAAGAAGGACTTTTGGTAGCTGCCTTAGCATCATCAACATAAATGTAAAAACTTAAGAGTTCCAAGAGACCACCCACTTATGAGATATGTTTAATGATATCTGCAAAAATGGGCAGAGGCTTCATTGGATTGAGGAAGATGTCTAAGCCAAGTTGTGTAGCATCTTAGCCTCTCCTGAAGAGGCACCAGGCATAGCATAATCAATCCTTAGACTGTCTAGAAATGTGCACCTTCTTATACATTGGAGGGTCAGTGCATTATTTTGATTTCATTTATTTATTTATTTAATAAACTCTCAATTGCACGTCATAAAGAAACTTTCTTCAGTATTACAGAAGAATGATCAAGATAATATAAATATCATTACTTTGGTCAAAAGTTCAAAATAATAACCTCAAAATATAAGAGATGATGAATAAGTAATTTTCGTTAAAGATGTTAACTCATTATGTAAAAAAAAATGTTATTCAAATTGTAACCAAGATATTTGTAATGTATGGTAGATTAAGGAGGAAAGGTTAAAAATTAAAAAAAATTATATTATTATGAAATAGAATTATTTTATTTTGTAATAATTATGAAATTTCAAGTGTACTTAATGATTGATTCAATGAGATAAATATTGAATTTCTTTTGTGTGTAACTTGTTTAAATTCATGTGATGTATTTTTAACTTTTGATAATGAAAGCTTGAAATATCTTACTGACCAGAAGAAAATATGTTAAGATTTTCATACATATTTTATACTGTTTTTGATGATATTGCGCTTTAAAGAAATGTATTTTTGATGTTTTGTTGCAGGAATGATGAAATATGGTTATTGGAGCAAAAAGATGCAAAAAAGAGCGAATTTGGAGCGAAAAGGGCCAAAATGTGAAGAATTGAACTAGGGCGCCGACAGTGCCATCTACCCCGCCGACGGCGAGATTTTCCCGAGACTCCAGAATTAATTCATTAAGAAGGTCCGCCGACGGCGCCCTCGAGACCGCCGGCGGCAAGCTCGGGGGTTACGTCCAACTAGGCTTTGGATGAGGACAAATTTTGAAGGG